CCGACCAAAACATCCTTGGACGATCTCGCTGCCTCTTCCGCTCTGTCCAACAAATCTTTTTCAAACCTACATAGAAGCAGATTACGTTACTTTCGAAGCTGTTCTCTCTCACGTTTACAAAAATGTATTTCTTGAAAGCCAGCTTCAAAAAAAAAAAAAAAAAAAAAAATAACTTTGACGTGTTTTTGCGCAAATATTTTACAATAAATTTGTAATGTATCTTATATTTGTATTATTCTACCGCATGTGTGCGTTGTGGCTTGAATTTTTTCAAATTGTTACAACAGATGTATTGCACTACCGTTTTGTGACTGTTCTTGAAGATAATTACTTAATTAAAACAACAATCAAAAAATCAGCAGCAGTGTTGTGTTTATATGTAACTTTCTGATGTGATATCAGTAAAAGAATATATAAAAATACATGCCAGTTGAGCGGTCCACCGCCAGAAGAAAGCAACGGCAATCGTCGACGACGCGCACAAATCGTGTAAACGATTATTGCCGAGATCGCTCCGGTAGCGGCTCCGACCGTGCCCAGAACAGCAACCACCCCGACTCCGTGGACGTCCATAATATATAAATACTACAAATCTAGATTCTCATCAAAAACTCCTCTATTGTTATATACTAGATCTCATGTATTATGTAGTATATCGACGCGAGTACAGCTGTGTGTGACTCGCAATTGCGCTACAATCCAAGAATAAAAGAAATCGCGTTAAGAAGAACACGCGTTGTTGTTGTTGTTTGTTTTCCCGGTGTAAATAAAACACGCAAACGAACGTTTTACCTGTGCGTCGTGTGTGTGCGTTGCAACGTTACATTATTCCGTTCAGATGAAAAAGATTAATATAGGAAGGGATGCAGCAGCACAGGCTGTTTCCTGGTCTCGACGCGAATCGACGAAACCGGACGAAAGATCTGATCACAACCGAGACATCTCGCATCGATGGATGATGAGAGACGAATTGTCAACAAGTTGAAGACATTTCTCTCTTGATCGCGGTTGATTGTTCACGGAAACGTGCGTACATTTTCTTCCATACCGTTGAGAAACGCGACACAGACCTCGCTCCTCCTCTTTCAGATGAGTATCTAACGACGGGGTGCGCGTGCGCTCGTATCCGATCATCGAAAACTCGCCGCGGCAACGAGAAAACCGAGCAACCTTGAATCAGGAAAATTGGAGACGTTAATTGCTCCATAATTTGAAAAGTTCTCTCGTCCAATTAGAAGATCGCACGAAGCGATCAGATCTAAAACATTTATATAGTAATTATATATAAATTTGTACGTCTGTACGTGAGATAACGCAAAGCTCCATTTCTCTCTCTTACCCCTAAAGCAGAAAAGGAAAGTAAAACTATAAAAAAAAAAAGAAAAAAAAACGTCTCATAGATTTAACACTCATTTAAAACACCTAATGACTGGCACTTTAAAAGATCTGTCAAGATTGTTTTCAAGAGAGTTGCAATTAGAGAACTTTAAAATGTTGCTGTATGCATAAGATCTAAATTAGTCCTACTATAACGCAAAAAGTAACACCACGGACAAAAATGTTAAAAACTAGAAAAAAATCAATAAGTACCAATTATTGGAGAGAGGCTTTTGCTAGCCTAGTAGGGTTCCGGTTACTCCCCGGTTGATCATCTCCTCAAAGATTTTCCTTCTCTCTCTCTCTCTCCGTCCCTTTCGCTCTTCCTTCCCCTCCACAATCTTGCGTCCCATCCCTTCCCTTCCTTTCAATGTCTGTCATGTTTAACTACACACATCCATTTTTGCGTTTGCACTTAATCCAGCAAACCTGCAAGAACAACAACACAATTAGACACACAAGGAATTATTAACAATTGCTGAATACATATATTGGACAGAAGACATGACCGGTTTAGGCATGGACTTCGAGGACGATTTCTTCTTTGAGGAGGACAAAATGTTGGTTATAGCGAAAACATATGGACATACTTGAATCATTAATTAGGTGTAATTTTATTAAGCCGCATTATATTATTGTCACGATACGCTTTTTTTTTTTTTTTGTATTTTCAACATGCATGTGCAAATGTCACCAGTGCTGGTGTATGTGTGCGTGTTACATACCCACAGTACACGTTTTAAAAATCTGGATGGACAACTTTGTCAACAATTTGGACAATGCAATTATCTTACAAAATTATTTTGATCTCTTTATCACACTCAGCTAGCACCAAGCTGCACCAATTGGCAATAATCTGGAAGATCGCATTTATGTATGGCATTAGTTCGATTTTATACATGTCAATTATATTGATTCGTTTATTTGTTTTTCCATTTGGCTTTGCGCTCAATTTTTTCTCTCTACCAAATTTTTCATTTTTTTCTTTCTCTCTCTCTCTCTCTCTCTCTTTATTGTGCTTTGTCATGTGGGAATTTAGACCAAACATACAAGTGGTCTTGCAAGATCAATTTGTACAGCAAGGATCTACTAACCAAATGTAAGTTTTTTCTTTTGAAATATGTTTGTTTAAGATATATATATATATATGTACTGTTGTCAATAATATATCAAAGTGTTCAAGTAGATATATGTATGTGTATATACGTTTATATTTTGAACACACACTTCGACAGAAGTTAAAATTTTTCTATGAGATATGAATAGAACAGTGGTGGTAATATAAAAAAAAAAAAAAATACAATATTCGTAAAACAATAAACTTGCTCTTGCATGTACGTAATTTTTATAAAAAAAAGCTATTTATAGATTTTTATTTGCACATATGTGTTAAGTATTTTTCAGTTGATGGTCAAAATATTTTTATACGCACTATGTTTATATTTCTTACACGGCTTCTTGCGATAAATTAACATTTTCTATGTTTTTTTTATTTGATGCTCAAATGTACGCGCGCTAATGTATTGTATTTTTTATTGGCAAAAATATCAGGGGAATGACGATTACATCTGGGAACATAATAATACAGAAGGACGCCAATAATCTTATTGGCATAAGTATTGGCGGGGGAGCACCTCTCTGCCCGTGTTTGTATATTGTACAAATTTTTGACAATACACCCGTCGCTCTGGACGGCACTCTTCAAGCTGGCGACGAGCTTGTGGCGGTGAACGGGGCGTCGGTAAGGGGAAAAACCAAGGTTGAAGTTGCAAAGATGATACAATCTTGCGACTCGCAAGTCAGCATCAATTACAACAAGTTACACGCCGATCCGAAACAAGGCCGCACGCTTGATATCGCTCTGAAAAAGGTAAGTTCAACTTCAGCCACGTTAAGAAAACTCTCTTGTGTAATGTTGTGTGTACGTGTGTGTGTGTGTAGGTAAAACACAGACTGGTCGAAGGAATGGGCAACACCACAGCCGACGCGCTCGGACTATCGCGCGCCATTCTTTGCAACGACGCCCTTGTTCAGAGACTGATGGCGTTAAAACGCACAGAGAATTTCTACAGAGGTCTTGTCGCGCACGCGAAAGCTACATTGCATGCTTTTTTTGACCTGACACAAATTTACAAAGGTATAATTTTCTGACGAAATATATCTCTTGTATCCTATTTTTTTGTACATTATTACTTGGACAGCGTGTTTCTTCTAGTATTCGGAGACGCTTTCGCCGCCATAGGAGTGCGAGAGCCACAGCCACGTGCCAGCGAAGCCTTTCGACAATTCGGCGAGCAACACAGACAAATGGAGAAGTTCGGAGTGATAATGTTGAAAGCTCTGAAACCGATATTGAACGATCTGGGAACGTATCTCAACAAGGCCATACCGGACACGCGATTGACCATCAGCAAATACGCCGACGCGAAGTTTGAGTATCTGTCGTATTGTCTGAAGGTGAAGGAACTCGATGACGAGGAACAAAGTTGCGCCGCTCTGCAAGAACCGCTTTATCGCGTGGAAACCGGCAACTACGAGTATCGTCTGATACTGAGGTGCCGGCAGGAAGCTCGCGCCAGGTTCGCCAAGCTTCGCTCGGACGTGCTGGTGAAGCTCGAGCTGTTGGACAACAAACACGTCCAGGACGTGGTCTGGCAGTTGCACAAATTCGCGGCAGGGTTGGCCAAGTATTACGCCAACACGCGAGACATGTTGTCGGCGGTGACGCTGTTCCCGGTTGAGGTCGATCTGTCGCATTCCGCGTTTCAGTACAAATCTACCGGTCCGCAAACGTTCACCTATTCGAACGCCGATGTTGACGAATTGGAACCGGAGGAGAAACAGCATAACATAAAGGAGGAACTTCTCATCGACACGTCGAATTTTTCAGAGGAACCAACAAACAACATATAGCAATAAAACTTTGTACAATTTGTGATAGCAGGATCGCTTACGGCAAATCGGCTGTGGCGAGTCTGCCATTTCTTCACTTTCTTTCTCTGTATAATTTACTTGAAACTTTATTAGCATAAACTTACATCAGCGTTTGAACGTCGTCACGGTATCTTTGACCCTTTCTTCTTTTTCCAGACGTTTTCTAAAATTAATTAGTGTTTTACATATAATTAGAGTTCCTCTTACAAAAGTAGTTTATTAAATAACTATCTTCCTTTACCTCAGAACGCATATTTCTCCGATTTCTCGAGCTTTCCCGCGCTTTTGCCATATTTTCTCGCTTCTACGAACAGATTTCACTTGGCGCTCGCAACCATCACGAGCATAGGTCGGATTTACAATGTTCTGTCGCATTGGTCGATCTGCCGAGTCGAGCACGAACGCGATTGGACGTTGGGTGCGTTCAGACAACTCAACGGTTGCGCAACGGTTGAGAGATAATCACTTCTGATTGGATCGTACTTTTGGAACCGCAGCAGATTTTGAAGAATAGTCCTATCACAAGTGATGATCTCTCAACCGTTGAGTTGTCTGAACGCACACGTTGCGAACGTTGCCCGCGATCGTTGCGAGCGCCAAGTGGAACCTATTTGCGGACGATGCCTTTAGCTCGAAGAAAAAAAAATAAACATTCGCGTTTTCTACTTCACTCGCTCATTTCACAAGTTACGCGTGATAAGAGGTAAAAGAGTATAGTGTCAAAAACTTGGAAAATCACATCATTATATAAAAAAATAATTAAAACTAGTTAAAAATTACACCAAAGAAACATCTTTGAAAGTGGCAAGTTAATTACAATGACGAGTAATATAAGTATGTATCATCTTTCTCTTTAGCAGACAATTTAAAAAAAAAACAAATGCTTTTCTAGAAAAATCAAATCATAAAATATTGTTAATAATAAATTATTACTTTCAGAACGGTTATTATGTTCGCCACTTCCTGGATATTTGACGAGTGGTGCGACAGTCTGTGAAAACACTGAGCAACATCTCCTCAACTTCTTGCAAAACTTGCTGCCAAAGTCGGACTGTAAATCTATTTCAGATGAGTTGCGAAAGGTAACACAAAGAGAGTTTGTAAAAACTGTAAAAACTATTTTCTGTGTAATTTTTTATCTCTGTTTCAAATTGTTCTCCGTCTCTTCTAAATGAGAAACCAAAATCGCTAAATTAATATAAATCTTTGTTTTGTAAAAAATTTCAGACTTTTATATTCAGCAAATTCAAGGTAAAGCACAAGCAAAAACATCATAGTGGCAAAGGCAAATTCTCTCTTTCGTCCGTCAGGAAGAGAATGCACTTTGGTCTGAACAAAATTGGTCACAACAAAAGTCAAATCAAGTACCATGATATTTTGGCTTTGAAGCAACTGTGGTTAGATTACATTCGAAATATGCTCGGTATCAAATCGTTCACCAGTCTGCCGGAAGATCCTAACAGTTTAAGTTTGGAAAACATCAGCAAACAATTGATGAAAGCTGATTTTCATGGCGCCGAAATATCAGTGGACAGTTCAACGTGTCCTACTTTGGTAGGATTTAGAGGAATTGTTATACAGGATACAAAAAATACTTTCAAGATATGTGGGACGGACAATGTCATTCGAAGTGAGTGAAAATATCTTTGAATTTTGTCTTTTTCCCTGCAAAGTGTAAACATAATTGTGTGTTTGTGTGTGTATAAGATTTATAAATTTTTTCAACTGATGTGATCCTACAGTCAAGTGATTTTGCATGTTTGAAAACTCTTGTGTAACAATATGTACATTGCATTTGTGTTTTCAGCAATACCAAAAAAGTCAGCTAAATTTTCTATTTACTTGGATGATGGCGTGGTGTTGAAAACGTTTGGGAAGCAACTTTGCGTAAGACCTGTGGAACGTACCAGTAAAAAACTAAAGAGCACAAGACTAGTTCAATTGTGAGATATTGTAAATACTTTTCTCAAATAAAAACAAAAAAACATATTACACACTAAGTCTTTCCAGTGTTCAAATATTCTCTTCTTGTGTGTAAAAAAAAAGATTTGTTTCTTACTCAAAGAAATTGTCAAAATTGCGTAAACATCGATTTTATTGACGCACTCTCTCTGTAAGGTCTGGTTTTTTCTCAATGTGGAATATATAATATTCTATACGTAAACGCGCGATTTTTGGCCACCTTTGTGTGGCCATAGGCGTCTTCTAATTCTTTGCAACGTCGGTATTGAGCATCTAATAGTTACATCATATATATATATAACAAGTTACATCATATATAAAAGCAGTACCGGCAGCGAACCTCGGACCACGTGTATAGCCAGAATTGTTTTCAATATAAATACATCATTTATTTCTGTATAATTTTCCATTATCATATACTTTTGCAGAGAGTATTATCAGTTACGATATATTACAATCTATATAACTTTATTGTATTTTATATATATATATATATATAATCGTATAGCATATTTAACGTAATTGTTTACTACTTACATGAATATATAGGATATTATTTATTCGTTATCAATATAACGTATATAATGGATGTTATATTTTATACGTGTGTGTGTGTGTCTGTGTGTGTGTATATGAATAAATAAAAGTTTGCCTTAAAAAAAAGAAAAAAGGAAACTGTTTACAAATGTGTAAACAACGCACAAATCGTCAAAACTCGTGGAGGGAATGCTAAACGCGATCAAAAACAATCGAGAGCTAATAATCGCGTACAAAATAAGTGACCGCTACGTCACTGCTCTTGACTATTTTACATGATACATGATACAAAGTATTAATAATAATAATAATAATATTAATAATATTTAGAATGTAAAATTTTTCTCGTGTCGATATGAACTTTCGGGCTATATAAATTTTATAAAAGAAAGACTACATGCTATAAAAAAAAAACCTTTCGTTACATCTCACGACTTGCTACAAGTAACATTTATATCGAGTTTGTTTGTGAAAAAAAAAAACACAACTTGTATAATAATTATGTACGGGAATGTTGAGAGGTAAGAAGCACATGCGAAATTAGTTAGTTTTTTTTTTTTTTTTATCTTGTTTTCTGCCGTACTTCGTATTGTTTCAATTGTATATTGATGTAGCACTTACACACGCAACATAAATAATTTTAAAAAATATCAGAGTTTTAACACGCACACAACATGACTGTGACATCTTTGTTTTTTTTTTGTTTTTGTTTTTTTTACAATAATAATAGCATGATTTAAAAAGTTTAGAATTTGCATAATTCAATTGCGTTGTTTGTTAATAAACTATATGATGATTAACGATCTCAGCAACTTTTTTTTATCAAGTCAAGTAAAAATTCACGACACACCGCGCGAAAAATCGAAAGAGAGAGAGAAAGAAAGAGAGAAAAAACCGTAATTAAATATTACCAAAACATTTTTTTATAGTACAATATTAACAATGTGATAGAAACGATTATATGTTACAATTTCTTTATATAATTTTTTTTTTTTTTTTTTTTAACCCTAGGACCTGAGAGAGCCTGGGTAGGGTGGTCTCTGATGATGTGCGGCACCCCACGCGCGTTTTTTCAAATCATTAATTGTTGTGTTTTTATACGTTGCTCAGTTATTATTAAATGTCTTTTGTGTCAACTTATTGCGTTTTTTGTCGTCATAAAATAATATTATACCTGTGTAATTGTTTCTCGTTAGAAAAACCATATTCAATTTTACAATTCATGAGATATTATCTCTTGCTAGTTAGTTAATGCACGTCAGCACGCAATACCGGCTCGATAATGAACTACTTTTGTGTGTATGACTTGTTACGCTAAAAAAGAACAGAATCTTACAACAAGCAATAAGAAAAACAAAAATCCTGAAACAAATGCGCAAGTAAAAAATCGCGCAATAATATTGTTTGTTACAAAATTTGCGTTCTAGCACAATTTGTTTTGTTTCTTCTCCCACTTGCGTGGTTTTAAAAGACTGAGGAACACTGTGTATGCCGGTTACAAAACTTACGAGATCTCTAAGTTTCTTACTAGGAAGTCTCTCTCTCCGAGGTTTCAGACGATCCCAGAGACGTTATATTAAAACTCTCGCTGCAGACGCAGTCCTAGGGTTAAACACTCCTTTTACGCATTTCGCTGAAAAATTACCTAGTTTTTCTTATAAAAACAGAAAAACACAAATGTTAAAGGGATGTTGACACGCGAAGACACGTAAAAAAAAAAAAAAAAAAAAAATTCAATCTATACTTCATGTCATCAATAAGAAAATAGGATTTTTCTTGGCCTCCATTGATACATATCGTTCGCTTTGCATAAATCGAAAAATAAAAAAATAAAAAAAAAATAACCGCAGTCGAAAACATCTCTGTATTACATATCAAGCAAATATACATACACAAGTAGATCTAACGCTTAGACGATGTGTATACGCACTACAGATACACGCCGAAATATCTTCAAGTGTTTATTGTTTAGACTTTTTCCTCGCCTCGAAAGAGGATCTCGTTATTACAACAATACTGACATAACGATATACACCTTGATCTACCCAATCTATATGAGTAACTCGCGTTTGCCTCTTATACGTTTCTATTTTTTTTATTCTTTTATTTTTTTAAATTTTTATCTGCAATACTGCGCGTTTGTCTGATGAACATTTCCTCGAATGTAATAAATTCCAATGCTATTTTGCAAAACGGTTAAGAACCCAACTGTCAACTATTTGAGAAATAAAAAGAAAAACACAAAATTTTGCGCGCGCGCACTGTGATAATTTTTTCAACGTGCGTTCCTTACGCGTTACAAAGCCGAAAACAATCAAATTTTTGTCGAAAAGCGAATGTTGTGTGAAAAGAGCGATTTACACATAATTGATCGATCTCTCTCGAATGTCGGAAAGAATACATACATACACACATGTCGTTTATTAATGTACTATCTACGCAATGATTCTTAAATTCAACAAGAGGGGGGAATCTCAGTACTATGTTTAAGAGAAAAAAAACAGAAATTTTTTTCCTCTTCATTCTTTTATATATATATATATATATATATATATATATATATGTGTATATATATATATATATAAATGTATACGCTTTACTTTCTCTAATGTGTAATTAATATTGGTTTGACAAAACCTGTGTTAAACAACGATTTAAACGATGATATATATATATATATATATACACATATATATAATGTATATATATAACTGTATATATATATATATATATATAACTGTTTGCTTTTTCGACAACGTTTTTCTTCCATAAATTACAAGTTCACATTTAGATAGCGCATGATAGCCTTTGCTTGTTAATGTATACAGACGTTTTTTTTTTGTTTTATGTTTTTTTTTTATGTCAACTATCATCATGATCTAAACGTGTGGGCAATTCTCTTCGTTTATTTTATTTTATTTTTTTTTCCTAATTATATTTTTCATTCTCATATATTCGCTTTGACAATATCAAGCTAACAAAAACGATTTTTATACTACCTAGACTTTATAGAAAAGTAGATTATTTGTTTTGAATGTGTTTCACATACCGTAGCCTTGATAGGCTGCAGCAGCGGGCGCGTACACCTGTGCGGGTGTACCGTACACATTCTGAGCTGCGTAACCAGGCGCCATCATTCCCGGTCCTGCAGTCAACATTAACTGAGGTTCAGCTGGAAAAAAAAAAAAAAAGGAAGAAAAATAAATCAGATATTGAAATGTGTGTTTTTTTTTTTTACAAAAACTGCTACACTCTCTTTCTCGGTTGGGGAAATGACTACTCACGCATAATCATAGGTTTGTGTTCCTGATGATCAGTTTCTTCGATGCGACGACTTTCGGCTTCTTCCAACTTATCGACCTGTCCCGAATCACATTCGATCAATAAATTTTGCGAGTTCGGACGAAACATTTTGACACTTTTTGTGTATTTTCTCACCTTCGTGATGTATTCTCGCGCTACTTGTATGAGATATGGCATTGCGAAATGCAAGATACGATGTTTCCACGCAAGCTCCAGAATAACGTCCGGGTGAAGTAGATCGTAACAATGAAATAGGCATGCTGCGAAGCAATCTTTAGAGCCTCGTTCCAAGAACCACTCGAGCAATTCTTGAGCGACTTCCTGATTTCGCGATTCCGCCGCGTACTCCATTGCGTCCCTGTTATCGAATTGGCGGTTAATGAAATTTGCGCTCGCGTAACATTACCTCGAAGGAAACCCTCTAAGCGAATAACGCGCACAGCATTAATTACCTGAATAGACGGTCCTTCTTGCAAAGTTCCACGGATTGCTTCCATCTGTTGTTACCCTTGTACAGATACGCGGCGATTCTCCTAAACTCGATCAGTTCGTGCTTCTCTAGTTGCTGCGCTAGCGCAATGTTATCAAAATTATCGAACGCGTCGATCGACGTTCGAAGACCCTGGTAATCCTCCTCGTCGATTAGCAAGCCGTTTAAAGCTTCATTGATTGCTTTGTTGTTGAGAGCCTGAACGGATCTCAGATACGGTTTTACTAGTTGCAGATGACCAGTTCTCGTGAAGTAAGCAACTGATCTCGTGTGATCCATACGCGGTGCGAGTACAAGCAATATATCGTTCAGAAGAAGGGGTTTGTATTCTACGTAAAATTGTATAGCTTTGTAATAGAGCTCGACGTTCGCGACTTTAGTGATTACGTCCTTGAAGTGACCCTCTCGCCAAGCCTCGGTTGGATGTTGCATCATCGCGAGGACCGCGTTGTCGTATTCCTCGTATTTGTCGTACAAGAACACCAGTTCAGCCCACAAGTGCGCTTGTTCTGCTGCACGTAACACCTGCAAGTCATTTCCTCAAGTTATTTTCTCAACCACCTGTGCGGCGACGAACGTTCGATTTCAAGCGCAACAACAACTCACCTTCGGTATATTGACGCGCGACCAGAAAAGTTCCAAGTGTTCTCTCATTCGCTGAGGCTTGTATTTACTGTAGAGAATAGCCAGTTCGGTGAACATTCCCATGTGAGCTCGCTCGAGTCCCAGAGCGGCTTCCAGAAGGTTGATGAGTTCTTCGAAGTGACCGCGGTCCTGATAATAATTGATCAAATCCTCTAGCTCGTCGGCATGCACGACTATGTGAAGACCGCACATCTGGGCCAGTCGGAATTCACCGCTGTCCACGCAGGCGAAACAAACTTCCTTCCAAGTACGAGTCGAATTAGCTTTGCGCGCGCTGTCCACGGCGCCTTGAAATTCTTTCAAGTGGACTAACGTTATAGCGAGACGCGCGAAATTCGACACGTTGTTGTAAAGCAGCTTCGCGGCGTCGTACATCTTATCGTCGAAACATCTATCGCCGATCTACAAGGAAGTAAAAAGAGCTTTTGCAGAAACTTTAACTTCGCGAGTTTGCAATTTCGCGCAAAAACGACTTAGTTATTAGGATCGTACCTTTTGTATGTCGGCGTGATTAGGACCGGATATGAATTCCTCGAGATCCGCGAGTCTATTGGTTCGCGCGTACGCATATATCAATTCGCTTTCGATGAAGGATTCGCGCGCCTTTTTGCGAGCCATTTGCAGATAGCGAACCAAGTCTTCCCAGTGCGAGGTACGGTGTGCGGTTTCCACCACGTCCATGTACGCCGAGGGATCGTCCGCTTTGATGAAGCTGTCGATCGCCTCCTTAACCAAACCCTGTTGCAACTGAGCCCTAGCTAGTTGCGACCATACAGGTGGCTCGTTGCATCTGCGGATTTATTCAGACGAGAGTTATAGAAAGCTGGAAAATAGAAGAAAGACGCACGCATACGCGCGCACACATCGTACCTTTCTGCAAATTCATAAGCTCTGTCCAAGTTGCCGACTTGCTCGATCAAAACCTGGATGGCTGACGTATTAACGTCGAACTTTTTGAAGATCGCGAAAGCTTCTTCGTAAAGTTCGTTGTTGATGGCGATGTTGGCGATATCCGGAGCGTCGTAATTGTCCAAGCGATTGATGTACTCCATAACGCGCGTACGATCAGCCTTGATGGCCGTTAGTATCAAGAGATTCTGCAAGTTGCGGTGATCGCTGAAGACGCTGCTGTCCAGTACTATTTTCTCGAGAAGTTCGATCAGTTCGTTTGGCAAGTCGGCTGTCATAAAAGCTTTTACGGTGACCGATATGTCCTCGGGATCTTGCGTCTCGGACAACGCCGTCTGAACGACCTGATCGATCAACGGCCGCTTGTACGGATTGCTCTCGAGAAGCACCTCCGCCCAGAGATCCGGATCTCTGCGTCTCACCAGATATCTGGCTTCGCTCTTGAACAGACTGTTCTCGTTGCATACGCTTATCAGTTCGCGATCGCACTGACCGCGTTCGTACGCGATGCAAGCCAAGTGGGGATCGCGCTTCTCGCAATACTTGCCGACGACTCGGCTGTCATAGAACTGATTCTCCTTGAGAAATCTCTCGGGATTGTTGTTGCTGTCGATGTAGATCTTGGCCAGAGCGTTGTGCGTCGCGGGTTCTACGCAACCCTCGTGAACGCGAGACTCCAACCACGGCAGCAGAAGCTTCAGACGATTTCTCTTCTCGACTTCCTCGACCAGTTCGTCAGTCGAGAACTGTCCGCGTACTACGAGTATCAGATTCTTGATAATATCCTCCGAACAGTCAACGTCCAGCAAACCACCCACAACTACAGGCAAACGCGACGGGTTTACTTTCTGCACGTAAATCTCGATGTATTTTTGCAAATTGTTGCGATAGAGGTAGAGAACTAGGTCGTGAACAAAATCAAACCGATCGCACACAATGATCAAAGGCAACTGATCCGAAAGCTTCGCTTCCTTCAGAAAATTCTTGACGCGTTCCGGATTGTAACAGTTGCTCTCCCGACATATGCGCTCCACCTCTTTGATCTGTCCGGTTTTGCACGCGGCCTGAATGTACTTGAAGTGCACTTCTTGATCCTGGCTGAAATTCACGATAGATCCCAAGAAATAGAACAAACCCTCGTAAGATTTGAAGCTTTCGAACAGATCGATCAACGCTTTGGTCGTCAGTTGCTCGTGATATTTGGTCGCGATTTGTATGCAAATTTGCAAGTTCTGTCTTATGTTGGCCGTAAGCATGGCCTTCAAACACTCGAGAGAATCTTCCACGGACAGAGTCCCGAAGAAACCTACGAGCCAGTCGGGAGAGAGCAAGTGCGTGTGCACGACCGCTCTCTTGATATCGTACAAGTCTGTATAATGTTCGAGAGCGCGTTGCAACAAACCGGCCTTCTCGCACAACTGCGCCACGTGGGCTCTGTCGTAGTGAGTGAACATCTGATTGCCCAGTATAGCGTCGGCCACTTGCGGAGCCGACATTAGATTCATCTCCAACAGGCGAGTTTGTAAGGCACCCTCGCTCGGTCGGTTGTTCTTGAGCGCGTCCAAAAGAAAGGCTGTGCATTGCTGCACCATGTTTTGCTCCATAAATATGTCGACGATCTGATTGATGTCGGCCAACGGTTCGTCGTCTTGAACCAACATTTGAGCGAACGCCACACCCTGATCGGGATTAATTCTCATGACATTTCGCAAGAGAAATATGTAGTCCGGCGTGTACGAGACCTTCTTCGCGTAGAGAACTATTTTCTGAAACTGGCCGGTTTCCGCGAAGCATTGGATAACCTTGTTCGGCACATTGGCTCTCAGATAAACGCTGAGCGCCAACGTGGGATCCGCCTGCTTCACCAGATCTCCCAGTTCCTCGCTGCACTCGAGCTTGTCCTCCTTCAACCACTTCTCGAGCAACTGTTTACGTCCCTGAACCAGCACCGGTCGGCACAGTTCCAACGACTCGTACTTGTTCAGCTGACCCTGATCCAAGAGGATACCAAAGTATTGCAAGAGTGGAGACGTCTGACCCTGCGTGGTCGGGACTTGTTGAAATCGTTGTATAGTCGCGGGCGTTCGGAGTATTCCCTTCGGAGCGTTGGCCGCAACCTTCGCCGCCTCCGCGTACTGACCGTTTTGGAAGAGCATGTTGAACTTTCTCACAAACAGATCTTCCGCTCCCGACAAGTTGTTTCTCACGGCCATTCTCAGCGCTAGTTCCGAATTTTGCAGCACCCCGTTGATGTACGGGATTATGTTCTCTTCGTCCACGGAAACGGACAGAACCTGACCCTTTCGATTTACTCCGATTATGCCGCCGGAAGCTTCGTGCGGCGCGGTTACGAAGATGGTTTCTCCCGAAATACGATTCATAAATATACACGTCGCGGATTCGATATCGTACATATGTATATACCCGTATTTTGTGATTAAATATATAACGTCGTATTTGGAGCTAACTTGCATGGCGACCGGAAAATCGTTTCCCGCCTCAGGTGGAAAGAACACGTCTACCGCTTTTTTCGGAAACGGATGATTGCCCGCGGGCGGCTGGCCCACCTCGATTATATGAAGCTTCGCTCCCTGAACCGTTCTAACGGCGAAGCAGAACAGATTGCTGGGTTCCGCGTTTCCTTCCATTTTGAATTGGGCGAATGAGGCAGCGTGGCCCTCGATGGGCTGCGAGCACTTGCGCTCAACCGAATAGAGCTGCATGGCGCCCACCACTCTGTTATGCTGCGCCGAAATGCCGATCAACAACAGCCACGTCTGCTTCGGATCCGTTCTGTAATTGATTATCTGACAGCCGTTTAATGACGAGTGACGTTCGAACATCTTGTTCGGCGTTGAATCTCCCTCCATCGACCAGTGATACACCGCGGTTTCTGTTACCAAGGCCAACGTGTTCAGAGATATCCATTTCCAAAAGACCACGTCTTCCGTCATTGTGTGAGCTTTCATTTTCGACTTCATTTCGATGTTAAAAATCTGCAGTGTCTTCATGGCTAGCAAAAGCACAAAGTAATTTCTCTTAGCAACTCCTATATACCGTGTCCCAAAAGCTTTGAAACAAATATCTCAAGAATAAAGCATCATAAAGAAAAACTGTTTCAAACAAAAGTTGCAAAAGTTTGAAAGTTTTGCAACGCTTTATTTTTCAGATACGAACTGTTCCGGAAAACTTTTGAAGTTTGTATTTTATTTTCTTTCAATGTCTCAGTGCTGTACTAGAGACCAGATGAATGTTAAAGATATAAAAGATATATTTCTTGCCCATGGCTACTGAGCTGAGGGTCACATGTAATTTTTATAGCAACAGTTTGCGAGATTAAGTTTACTTCCAGAGTTCAACAACATCTTGATGGTGAGATGTGCCTCAACATCTTGTAATAAGAGTCAAGATCAATCAGTGAATGAGACGTTAAAACAAAAAAGGTCAGTGTAAAAATGACGATTCTGGCTCCAAACTCAGAAGTGGGCAAGAATTTGTATTCTTATTTATTTAAAATCTCTGTTCGACAAAGTTGAACCGTGTGCCTACACATACCTTTCAGAGCGATAACTTTACTAGCTGGATTCATAATTGCAGAATCAGCTGATATTGGTCTTCTAATGGGGTTGGTGGAGTCATTCATGTCGATAATTACTACCTGGGCAGTATCGCCAACTTTTTCTCTAACGCAAATAAATTTATCAGACTCCATGGTGAGCGTATTAAAACTGACATTACTGGCATTAATCCCCACAGCTGTAAGCTGCAAACAAAAATGTACAGAGAGAACACGTATCAGTTTCGCAAATCTTCAAGCTCTTGTCCGTGCAGTCAATGTTTGGTCTGACCAAGCGACTAAGAAACACTCTGCTCTTTCTTCCATTTGTTTTTTACGTGTTTTATATATTTTAACAATTTATTTACAAAAAGTGTAAAGCTTTCACAAGCGAAGCGCGTTTTAACGCGCAATTGTAGCAACTTTGACAAAATGTTATAACATTTGTTGCGCGCGTGATTTTTTAATAGTTAAATAATATTATCGCAAAAATGTATTTTCAAAAACAGAATGTTACAAAAAATATTTATTTACAAGATAAATAGCGAAAAAAAAAAATAAAGGATAACAGGGTTGCATGCGTCAAGATTATTATTTATTCGCACAAGTTGACATAAAATTGCTATTAAATCTAATGACAAAACATCGCCGTTCCAAATGTTTTCTGTCAAAAATATCGGGAACCGTAAAGAAAACTCCGATAAGAAAGCGGTAAAAGCGGAAACAAGGGGCGTACACGTCGACAGTGCACTCGCCATGTAATCGCGAATTACGCGTTTGAACAATGTTTGTTCAATTTGTTTCGTGCGAAAATATAATTAACGCGAGTACAATATTCAATTAACTCTCCGTTCCGAGAAATTACAAGCGCACGAATCGTTAAGAAAAAAAAAAAAAAAAAAAAAAATATATATATATATATCGAGTCACGTCATCGTATCTTGCGCGCACGAGAGAGAGACGGAATGTTACATCGCACCGTGGATGTCGATGTAAAAGGCAATTAATTTTGAAAAATTACATTTCCGTTTCGACGAGCCAATTACTCGTCAACACATTGACATTCCGCGAGAGAGGAAGAGAGAGAGATAGAGAGAGAGAGAGAGAGAGAAAATGAAAGAGAGAGAGAGAAAGAGAGAAAGGACTCGCGAAAGCCGAGAAAACGCCTTTGGTGTCGTTCCCTGCGAAAAGGATCGAGAGAATCCAAAATCGGCATCGGCATCGGTCTCCTCGCTCTTCTCTCTTCTCTCGCGAAAAGGCGAAATATCGAATGGGAATTAGATGACGTTACCTGAAGGTGTTCTTGGAACCTTATGGGCAATAGCTGCGTCATTTTGCCCGAGATATTCGAAAACTCGCCGAGGTTCTCGACCCGCTATTCCTCCCGTGAACGTGGCAACGCGTTCCCAGCACCCTGTGACCGTTTCTGTCCAACTATTCTCGCTTTAACGTGCGTCTCTTATCCCCGAACGTTCGGCGTCAATCATCAAAAACGCAAAACCAACTAACGCAGGGAACGAGAGAACTGTCGCTACTTGCCGCTGCTGACACCCATCATGGCCGCCCAACGCCGCCCCTCTAATCTATCGAAATAGTTCCCGCGTATGAAATTCCTCCGCGCCCGCTCGCGCCGAACGCAACGCCGACGACGACGACGTATCGACACGGCCCGGACGGATCTCGGATTCTGATCTCGAAGTCCGTCTTTTCCGCGCGAACAACCGATTTGATCGAGCTGACGTTTTTTTTTTTCTTTTTTTTTTTTTTTTGTCGTTTTTAATCGGCCCGACAGAGTCAACGTCAGCGGAAGAATACACACGAGCGCGATTTGACACACCGAACACACACACATACATACACGCACGCCGGACTCGGTGGCAAATCTCGCGCATCATCCCTTCCCCTCGTCTTTTCGCCGCTTCAATGAAACCGCGCGCGTGGAACGTACGCGTTTCAAGACATTGACACAAGATTATGAATGTTAATACAATTTTTTTTTTTTTGGTTTAACGGGCTATCGTAAAATTGCGAATGTTAATTGAATTTTTTCCACATTTAACGAGCTACGTACTTCGAATTATTGGCGTAACGCGAGATCATCGTCGGTTGGATCTCACAAATAAAAGCTTTTAATGAATTCATAACATATGTGTAAAAAATAAGAGGTGGGTGGGGAAACGTGAGACGAGACGGGAGATGCGGAAACGTGTGATCACAAATTTGTTCAACAAGATGCTTTATTCCCTAGCAGTAGCATCAGTTCGATATTTGCTTCAATTTGTACACAAAATAGAAATGACTTGTGCTACTGTTACAGAACACGTAGCATACTTGATTTTTGCGCAGACACAATTGCTTTTTTTTTTTTTTAGTCAAAGAGCCCAAAGCCCATATCGTCGTCTTCGGATTCGGATTCCTCCTTGGCAGGCTTCTTTTCCTCTGTTAAAACAACAAACAGCGTTTTAACACATTTGTGCGTTTTAACACATTTTTATACTCAATTACACATAACATAGACTAGTCCCAGAAACGTTTTTTTAAACATTTTTATTTAAAAACTGAAGTTGCAATTTTTTAAAAAACCATTTGCCCTTTCAAATGTCCACTGATACGTGTTGGTTATTTAACAAAAACAATTTTACACTTTTTAATTTTTAAAGATTTGAGGGATGGAGAAAAAAACCCAAAGAAATTAGAGATGTATGTGTGTATATAGATTTAAAATATAAAAACAGCGAGTTTTTATAAGCTAAGGAGAAACAAAACCTATATTTACCTTTCTTCTCCTCTGCCGGAGCTGCTGCAGCAGGAGCTGCGGGAGCACTTGCCGCAGCTGCTCCGCCAACTGGAATGGATGAAAGTTTTTCTCTTCCTGAAAATTTACAAGAACAAGTGTATAATTAGTTAATTACTGACTAACACACAAAGTGCGTATGTACTCTCTTAGATAAGAAACAAAACTGTGTTCTCAAAGAGCGTGCGTCAAAACTCACCCTTAGAAATTAATTCGTCAATAGACTTTCCATTGAGTTCTGAAATAACCTTCTTCAGTTTTTCAGTGTCAGTTTCAATCCCGACAGACGACAAGATCTTTTCAATGTCGTTCTGGCCTGGCGAGGCTTTGCCTCCCAGCACAGCTAGCATATAAGCAGCCACGTAACGCATTCTGAAAAAAGCAACATGTTTGTTAGAACAATTATTAATATAATCGTGCTAAGCCGTCAGTCATCAGTCTATAAACTGTCTTAATAATCATTCCAAATGCTAATTATGTGCTCAAGAACATACTATCATAGTTATTTGGTTCGAGAACTGTGTAGAGATTATCATCAAATAGAATTATTTATTTATCATATCAGATCCTGTAAAACTACGTTGCAATTTGCACAATAAATAAAATAGCAATTTAATGTTCAACAATAAGATCCGCAAGTGTATTCAAACGCGTCACTCTTGTCGAGCGACGGAGCGAAACCAAATCCAACGAGACCAAGAAATTGTAAGATGCAATCGAACGAACAATCTAAACTTTTTGCTTTGCGGTTATTCAATTACTTCGAAACTTGGAATATTATTTTATATTTGACAATTGTCTCTACTCACATTTAAGTCCTACAGACACGAAACGTGGTATCTGCTCGGGTGAATATCTGGCGCGCAACGAAACACGCCGGAAGAAACAGACCGAATGAGAAAGAAAGCGAAAAAGAAACGGAACGTATCTTCATGTACGCTCACGGCGAATATCTTGAGCGTCTGATTGGCTATCGAGTGAACAACTTTAGAAAGGTCCCTATCTAATAGCCAATCAGAATTAAGTCTAACTTTCTGTAAGGCCTGTTCTACAATACGGTCGTAAGAAATTGACCAATCACAGACAAATAAAAATAATCGATTCAAAGAAAAATCATCGATTGTGATTGGTCAATTTCTTACGACTTACGGCTTACGATTGTATTGTAGAACAGGCCTAAGGCCATGCACATAGTGAAAGTTTAGAAGTAATCGCAAAGTCGTAAACAAATTGACCAATCACTGGCCAGCATTCCAACTAACGTAAGATAATACTGGTCTGTAATTGGTTGAATTGCTTACAATCTTCCGCTGTTCCGAAAGCAAAAATTAATTATAATTTTGGACTGTCCAAAATTAAATGCCGTTTAATCCGACAGCGGAAATTAATTATAATTTCGGACTGTCCAAAATTAAATGTCGTTTAATCCGACA